CTTTCTCCTGAATACCATCATTTTCTGTAATCATTCCAATCAAATATTTAAAACACTGATGGATTTTTTTGCTGCATATCTTTTATATTTGTTTTTAATTTAGTTATTGCAGTGATTGTTGTAATTTAAAGATTGTCCCTATAAGGAACTTGGGGTTTATAGAAAATACTGGGGGGGGGGCTGGAGCAGTAAATTAGGGAACATTTAGGATAGTAGGGGAATACAGTGTTTGGCAATAAAAATCTATGTACATGGCCCCCTTCTGTGGATACCTAAATCTGTGGATCAGGGAAACAGAGATGGTAAACAGATTTTTTTTTTTTTTTGAAAGCTTGGGAGTCTCCCTATGTTTGTAGGAAAAAATCTGACATGTTTAAATTTTCCCCAAAGTAAAATTAAAAAATTAAACAGTATTTACTGTGCATGTGCTGACAACACACTTACTTTGCCTTTGCAGCGGTTGGGAGCTGTGTTGGAGCCCAGCGGCAGCGGCAGCGGAGTCCCGGAACACAGTGGCAGTTGACTTCAGGAGCCACTCGGAGCCCAGCTACAGTGCACACTGAGAACCGCTCAGGGCCCGGCTGCAGTGGCGGCAGATACAGGGAGCTCCTCTGGGCCTGACCACAGTGGTAGCACATGCTGGAAGCCACTTGGGATTCAGACCAGCTCCCAGACCCCACAGCAGCTGGGCCCCAAACTGAGTGGTTGGGCCTGGACATGCTTGCTCAGTAGTGGGGAGTGGGTGGGATTTCCCCCCCAAGAGTTTCAGGTTCCCCTTGTATTACATAGTACTTCTTTGCTGTATCCTTGTTGTGACTGAAACTACCACAATTATGCCTCTGCAAAATATTTGCTGGTGCAATAACTGTACCAGCTTAATAAAATTTTTGCAATTTGAGCCTAAAAATTACACAAGTGTTTCTGTTCTCTGTTTTGTTCCATCTTTCTGAACATTTACATGTATTCTTGTCTCCTTTGCTTGAAATGTTCCATAGCAAGCCGAGGGCAGTATGCCCTCTCTCTGACCTCTCACCTATCCCAACAAGTATAAAATAGTGCAATCTCAGATTCTCAATAGCATAAAACTAATTCACAGTGCAGATAAACAGCACGACTAGTCTCCTATTTTGTCCACCTCCTCCACTGCTTCATTTCCCCCCCACACACACACCCTTTCCACTGCTGCTCTGACTCCTCTGCCCAGGGGCTGGAGCAGATAAAACTCTTTACCTTCTCTTCCCCAGCCCTTTTATACATGCCCTATAAGGCTCCCCAAACTTTCACGAGGTATCTTCTTCTCATACATTTAGACAACATTTGGCAAGCCTCAGGAACCACCATAGCCAGTAAATGTTTGAGGGCATTACAAAAAATATCCAAACTCTTGCAAAAGGAAGGAAGCTCACTAGTATTTAGGAACCCTGTAGGACATACCTGTCTTGGGCCCCGGTCACACGGGGGAAATTGATGCGGCTTTTTAGAGCCGCACCAAAAGAGACATGCGGCGGTGGGATCAGACAGATCCCCTGAGCCACCGCGCAGTTGCTCCCCGGCACAATCAGATGGGGGGGGGGAGCCACGGAAGGGAGAGTGAGGCAGCCGGCTGCACATGTGTGCGCATGCGCAGTTTGGCCGGGAGCCTCGAATGCTCCTGAAGACAGGCGCGCCGGCAATCCCACGGCTGCACTTGCTGTGGCATTTCAGGTTGGTGCTACTATTTCCTAGGGTTTCTTTAATGCGCATTTTCGGCCTGAAGGGACGGATCAGGGACGGGTGCGCACCGCTTCCCAGATGTTGCGGTGTGATCGTGCCCGTTTGCTGCACCCCCAATCTGTCCCTCTTGCGGGCCAAAACCTCCCGTGTGACCAGGGCCTTGGTACACTTTTCAATGGGAGATGAATTCCTCTGGTTCCCAAGTGGATATGAATGCCCTCAGGCAGAAAAATGCATTGATACAGCACTGCCTGCAGTGTCCTTCACCATTTCAATTTATTTTTTTGTTTTCAAAAGCTATCATTGCCCAAGAACTGCCCACACATTTCTATTCCCTGTCTTTCTTCCCAGTAGGGACCCAAAGTAGCTTCCATTGTTCTACTCTCCATTTTCCCCTCACAACAACCCCGTGAAGTAGGTTAGGCTGAGTGTGTGTGACTGGCCCAAGTTCCCCCACAAGCTTCTATGGCAGAGTGGAGATTCAAACATGGGTCTCCCAGATCCTAGTCTGACATTTTAAACGCTACACTACACAAGCAAATACAACCTAAACTGGTGGAGAGAAGTTTCCAGCCAAGTGCAAAATGCTTTAAAACTTTCCTTCAGTGTAGGGTAGTGTCAGAATTCAAAAGCACTCTGGCCAAAGATGTTTAGCAGAGGGTTGGGAGAGTCTGACAAAAACACCAATCAGGGGGAAAAGAGAGGCAGAATTTCTGCCCCAGTAAAAGTTTTGCCACATCCTTACTTTGTGAAATCCAGAAAGGAGAAGAAAAGCAAATTCCTGCACAGTCTCTTCTAGAATGAAGAAAATGGTGAGCAAGAGGAAAGGCTCCAGCCCTGACAAGATGAACACCCTATGAATGTTATCTCATCACAGTGTGAAGACAGCCTGGTGCAAACCAAAGAGCGATTGACTAGTGAAAGAAATAATCCATTGCTGCCCTGTGCCATCCACCCTATGCCTCATTTGACAGGCTTTCCCCAGGGGAATCCCTGTTGGATGAGCCCAACAGAAGAAGGAGAGTTGGTTTTTATACTCCACCTTTTTCTACCTTAAGAAGTCTCAAAGTGGCTTACAATCTCCTTCTCTTCCTCTCCCCAAAAGAGGCTCCTTGTGAGGTAGGTGGGGCTCAGAGAGTTCTAAGAGAACTGTGACTGGCCCAAAGTCACCCAGCAGGCTTTGTGTGGAGGAGTGGGGAATCAAACCTGGTTCTCCAGATTAGAGTCCCTGCTGCTTTTAACCACTACACCACACTGGCTCACAAAGAGGCATTTCCTTTTTTGGGCCCTACCTTTCACAGCCTTAAGTGAATAAACAGGAAGAAGGTTAATGCTGCAGAAAATAAACAATTCTTGCTTTCTTTTCCCCATAATAGATGTATCTGTATATGAATAATTTGTACAGTACTCTTCAGGAACATTGCCTGGATTGTGGTTTATGAGAACTAGCGGGAGGAGCTAAAATTGATGGGAGTAAAAAGGTGAGGTACTCCTTCAGGGCGCTCCCAGCGGTGAGGATCGCAGGCATTGAGTGTGCCGGCTTTGTGTGGCTGTCTGGCTAGTGTACCATCCGCCCAACGCACCGGTGGACAGCCTGCCATCTCTGGTGGAAACTGTGTCAGGCTGAGCGTTGGAACACCCTAGGCTGTTAGTCCTCGGTGATTTCAACGTCCATGCTGACGATGCAGCCTCCTCCTGGGTGGTGGACCTGGCATCGTCCATGGTGGCACTGGGACTCTCCCAATATGTAACAGCCGCCACTCATCAGGCCGGTCACACGCTTCATTTGATCTTCGCGGTGGGGGTTACAGTGGACTGGTTTACTGCTACGACAGTTCCATGGTCAGACCACCATGCCCTGAAGGCCCGAGTGAACTTGTCACCCCGACCCTGTTTGGGCGGCGAACAGATTTTGGCTCACCCGTGGAGCCTAATGGACCCATTGCGGCTTCAGAAGGCTCTCCAGGATCCATTGCCCCCTGGCGGCTCGTTAGATGAGCTAGTCGAGGACTGGCATAGCCAACTCTCGTTGGCCATTGACGAGATCGCTCCCAGACGCCGTCTGCGCCCTCGCTCAAGGCTGGCTCTTTGGTATACCCAGGAGCTGAGGCTGATGAAGTGAAAGTTCAGACAGCTAGAGAGACCATGGTGGCAGGCTCGTGACAAAGCATCAAGAGCAACCTATCGAATGTTTATGAAGTCGTATGAGATGACAACCAAGGCTGCGAAGAAGGAGTACTACGCAGCCACGATTGCGTCTGCAAGCTCGCGCCCGGCACAATTGTATAGAACGATTCGGTCTCTAACCACTCTGCCACAGAGCAGTCAAAATGTCAGGGAATTGGATATAGGCTGTGAGGCTTTTGCAAGCTATTTTGCAGATAAAGTCTTGCTGCTCCACCGTGACCTCCCGGCCACACTTGAGACAGTATGCGAACTCAAGGCCCCATGCACGTCTTTTGGTCCCATTCTGGATTATTTCAGCCCTCTCAGCCTAGAGGAAGTTGACAGATTGATCTCAACAGTACGTCCAACCACATGCAGCCTTGATTCGTGCCCCTCCTGGCTAATTAAAACTGGCTGCGGGCGGTTTCAAGGCACCCTTAGGGTCATTATCAACAGGTCCCTCTCTGAAAGCCTATTCCCAGGGGCTCTCAAGGAAGCAATGGTCTGCCCTCTCTTAAAAAACCATCTCTGGACTCGACCAAATTGGTCAACTATCAGCCAGTCTCCAATTTGCCCTATTTGGGCAAATTAATAGAGAGCGCAGTGGCGATACAGTTGCAGAGCTTTCTGAATGACAGCTCCAACAGTTCCATAGAGCCATGAAAACGGAGCTGTTTCGCCAAGCATTCCAATAAGAACGGACTGCACCGGTTGGGTTGCACCAGCATTTTATTACAGGATGCCACTGTATTCATTTAGCTTCATTGTATTTATTGGAATTGTATGGAATTGTATTTTATAACTTGTATTTGCTGGTTTTAAATTGTATGTTGGTTTTAAACTGTTTGTAAGCCGCCCTGAGCCGCTTTGGTGGGAGGGCGGGGTAGAAATTAAATAAAAAAATAAAAAAATAAATTTTTGTTATGGCCCACCCCGTGCTGACATTTTTCCTATCATGTCACTCTCCATTTGATATAAGCTTCCTCTCAGCTGTAAAGCAAACAACATCTGTGGTATTCATTCATAACAGGGGGGGGGATAAGCAAATTTTATCAAGATCAATGCAAATGAATATGTTGAGAATGTTCTGTCACACACAAACTCATTTAGAAACACAATACCTGGCAATGTTTCTGTTGACTGGAAGAACTGTGTGGAAGCTCAGTATGTGGTGGTTTCGATTCATTCCCTCTTGACTCACTACTTGTAGATGCATGGGATGTGTCTAAAATATGGGATCTTGCATATCTGTAGCCATTGCCTGCCATTGTTGCTTTCTCTTCATCTGAGTCCATAACAAAGACAAAATCAGCTTGGAAAAGATCGTTGTCCATTTTCCCTTTTCTTGCATTACACTCTTGTGGTTGTAAATGTTTGTGAATATTCTTTGTACATCCAGAGGCTTCACTGTTTCTCTTAGGTCCACTTTCTATGGCCTGGCCTTCAGCAACTACTTCACTCTGTTAAAAAAAGAAGTGAGAGAAAGAGATGTGCATAAATTATGTTATTATTAGATGATGGTGCTTGTCTGCCTAACCAAGAAGAACTTGAACACACTAAAAACTGAACCTACAAGAAAGGCATGTCCAAGATCTCAGGCCTCAGGAAAGATTGGAAGGGTCAGAGAGAAAGGTAGTTGGGAATTTTATTATTTGATAATACTGTTTCTACTCTTAATGCTTACCCACTTTCACCACTAAACTGTCTGGCACCTGGGGCCCAACACACGGGAATGCTTTTCCCCCTTTCTAGCTCCACAAGAGGAAAAAAAAAAAACAGAAGAAATAATTCACATTGTATCAAGAGTGATACAGAAACCAGGAGGAGACGGGTGCAGTGAAGCAGAATGGACTATGAGGAGTGTGGTTTATGAGACCAGCTGGGATTGAGAACGGTTTCTGGCTGTGGGATACTTAAAACAAACAATAGCTTTTCTTACTATAAAATGGATAGACCTGGGGCAAGCCACCATATTATCAAAGGAACAAAAGGGCTAGTAAAATTGGGGGACTTGAGCAGGGGTCGTTTCGTAGAAAAAGAGCTAGGGGAACTCATTAGCATAACTCATTAGCATATGCCACACCCCCTGACATCACCGGAAGTGTGTCATAAGGCCACCCCCCCCTCCGCCAACGGTCCCGGCCGCCGCCGCCGGCCTTGCAGCTCCACTGCCGAGCCCCATGAGGGGCCCGGCGGTGGACCTGCAAGGCCAGCGGGAGTGCAAGGAAGCCGGGCAAAGGCCCTCCCTGGCCCCAGGCAGGCAGGGGTGGGGAGAGGCAGGGAGGAAGCAACTTACCCTCCCTCTTCTCCCGCCTCCTCCTGGCTGAATGAGGGCCGGAAGCGGGGTGGCTGGAAGCAGGGGGCGGGGCTTCGTCATGTGCCCCGCCCCTGTACCTCACTTGGGGGAACTGCAATCCCCCGCGATCCCCCCCGAAATGACCTCTGGACTTGACCATATACAGAATCGTTTTAAACAAAGCAGAATTGTCATCTTTGTTTTTGGTCCTTAACTCCTTAGATGCCATCAACAGCCATGCCAGGCCATGCACATCATATTGCACATGGATATTACTCTCCTGGTTGTCACAAGTTAAATCCCATGGGTATAGCAATCACTAAATATCTACTGGCTTAGAAATACACATTCCAAGACTTAAGGGCACATAAGTATGTTTGGTTTTTTAAGCAGAGATACCAACCTCTGCTGATTGCTGCCCACCACTCTAGTCCCTCACTTTGGTCAAATCTGCATTTGTGTTTCCCAACGGTGTCCCAACGTTTTGGCACCGTCTCCAAAAAAACTGTCTACACTTCTGTTTGTAGAGACACTTCAACTGTGTCGACAGAATTTTGTATGGCCTCATTGTTTTATGGCCCTCTAGTGGTGACTCCAGTGTCACTGCGCCCCCTCACCGGGTTAAACAAATTTTGTTCTATGCTGATCCAACCCCTCCTTTCTGGTTTCGTTGCACTGTCAACCTAATGCAGACATTTTTGAGCCATCGCTCCGCTAATTCTTAAATAATTCCAACAGATGGTGCTCAAAAAACTAGGCGGTAACTCGTGGTTCGATTCCACGATTCCAACAGTACTCTTCCCTCTTTTTACTAGTTAGCCCCCAAAATATTTTTTAAAATTTTTATTTTGTTTTGGAGCTTTTATTTCTTGACCCCTTTTACAGGCCGACTGAACATTTTAAAGTTCACTACTGGTGCAGTAAGATCTTGCATTTATCTCAAAATGTTTAAATCCAGTCATGGAATTCCTCATTTTATTCCCGCTTGGCTCTATTTCCTCATAGCTATGTGAAAAGGTAAAGGTAAAGGTTCCCTTGCTCGAAAGCCAGTCGAATCCGACTCCAGGGTTGCATTGCTCATCTCCATTTCAAAGCCAAAGAGCCAGCGCTGTCCGAAGACGTTTCCGTGGTCATGTGGCCGGCATGACTAAACACCAAGGTGCACGGAACGCTGTTACCTTCCCACCGAAGTGGTACCTATTTATCGACTTGCAATTTGTTGCTTTCGAACTGCTAGGTTGGCAGGAGCTAGAACTAGAGACGGGAGCTCACTCCGTCATGCGGCACCCTGGGTCTCGAACTGCTGAACTACTGACCTTCCACAGCCTGCAGTTCAGCGTCTTAACCACTTGAGCCACTGCAGCTCTTCATAGCTATGTACCAGCCCTCAAATCTTATTTTCCAAAACTTATCCATCCGCTTTTGAACCATTTGTTTTCTTGACCCCCTGCTTTATGGGACATTTTTAAGTTCATGGGGGGATTTACTTCGAGCTGTAGGAGGCACACACAGCAGTAAAACACAAGAGATTGTGTTTCGCTCAGTGGGTAAATTCCTGCCCTGTAAATCAAGGCATTGTTGGTTTGATTCCTCTATGGCTGCTTTTATTCACTGCTATGTACCAGTCCTCAAAAAAAATTATTTGAAATTTATCTATTTGTTTATTAAATTTATAATTACCGCATATGACTGGGCAATGCACAGTCAGCAGGTTTTTCAAGTAAGAGCTTGCATTTGGCTTAAAAAGTTGCAATTCCTGCCTTGTAGTCATGGCGTTTCTCATTTTTAAGTTCACGGGGGTAAGAATGACAGACACTCAGCTGGTTCCTAGATAACTGAAGGTGTGACAAGTGTTCTGCAGATTGATGTGGTTAGGCTTTTTTTGTCTGAAGGCTCAGAACAAAGTTTGAGTACAGGAGCACCTTTTTAAAAACCTCCAAGTTCGGGGGAGGGGAGTGTTTATGCTGCTCTTGGAAGCTTCCAGAAGCTTCTGGAAGCTAGCTGTTTAAAACAGAATGCTTTGGGTCACTTCAGCATAATTATCAAATCACATATCATGGCCATGGCCACACCTTGCACCACATAAATCATGGATCCACAGCTTTAAGGTGACACCATGCTGCAAAAACATGCTTCTGAAACACGGAACCTCATGGATCCTTCGGGTTTTTGTGTTGGATTACCCAAACTCACAATCACATATCATGTCCATGGCCACAGCTATCACCACAAAAATCACAGATCCACAGCTTTGTGGCAACACCATGCTACAAAAACATGATTCCAAAGCACGGATCTTCATGGATCCTTAGGACTTTTGCTTTGGGTCACCCCAGCAGCACCATCAAATCCCATATCATGTCCATGGCCACAGCTTGCACCACAAAAATCACAGATCCACAGCTTCATGGTGACACAATGCTGAAAAAACGTGATTCTGAGGAATGGATCCTCATGGATCATGGATCCTTGGGGGTTTTGTGTTGGGTCACCCCCAAATCAACATCAAATCCCATATCATGTCCTTGTTTACACATTGCACCACAAAAATCACGAATCCACATCTTCATGACAGCACTGAGCAGAAAAAACTTGTTTCTGAAACATGGATCCTCATGGATCCTTACAATTTTTGTTTTTCATCACCCCAGATTCACCAGCAAATCATATATCATGCCTACAGGGATGCACAGCTTCGTGGAGACACCATGGTTCAGAACCATCAGTCCTCATGGATCCATGAGGATCTGTGCTTCAGAGCCATGTTTTTGCACTATGGTGTTGACAATAAGGCGTGGATCCATGATTTCTGTAGTGCAAGCTCTGCCCATGGACATGATATGTGATCTGATGGTGTGTTTGGGGTGATACAACGCAAAATCCTTGAGGATCCATGGTTCAGAACTGTGTTTTTGCAGCATCGTGTTGCCATCAAGCCATGGATCTGTGATTTTTGTGGTGCAAGCTCTGCCCATGGACATGATATGTGATTTGATGGTGAGTCTGGGGAGACCCAACCCAAAAACCCTGTTTTTGCAACATGGAGTCACCACCAAGCACCACTCATGATTTCTGTGGTGCAAGCTGTGGCCATGGACATGATATGGGATTTGATGGTGATGTTGAGGTGACCCAATTGAAAAACCCTGAGGATCCGTGCAGATCCATGCTTTGGAACCATGTTTTTGGTGCTGTTGTGGTGCCACGAATCTGTGGATATGTGATTTTTGTGGTGCTCCCTATAGACTAACACATGGTCTACAGTATGATGGTGGTTTTATTTCATTTGAATGTAAAAATCATATTAATTCATGAGGATCCATGTAGATCTGACTTTGTACTTTTTTTCTGCTGCAGAGATCTCGCCAGGACACCCCCGCAAACCACCTGTGGTTTCGGGAAGTGGCAGGGGAATGGCAACAAGTATGGGGGCAGCCAGCCTTGAGGCAGCCATCCCAGTGTGCATTTAGAGCACTAAAAAGAAAAAATCAACTATTGATGAGGGAGGGGAGAGCTGAAGAGGATCCTTGAATGATGCTGGCATGGGCATGAGAACACAGAAGAGAATAGGACACTGTATCTTTAAGAGGAAAGGAAAGGAGAAAGTCACAATGATGCACTAAGAATGCAGTTCAGTGATTTTTTTTTCCACCAGTGAGCAAAGCTTAACAATAAACTCATTCCTGAGTTAAAATACTGTTAAACTCATTCCTGAGTTTTAAAACAAAGTCATTTCCCCAAAAAAAATGTACCTGTAAGTCACAGGGCTTGAACTCACAACCCATGTATGAGGAGCAGAAACCTTAACCAACTGAGCTAAATAGCAGCTTTGAATATTTTGGAGAGAAAGGCAGACTCAACACCTCCCTCCCTCCATGATTCTTCAAAAAGAAAGGGAGGGGGAAATCCAAGCTCGCACAGAAATTTGAGCAAAATCGCCATCTACTGTTGAAGAGTCGAATTGCTCTTATTGAAAGGCACTAAACAAATGTGTTATGCCACTGTCGTTCCAGTTTTGAAAACGATACAAAGAACAGCAAAGCGAAACTACTTTAAATCTGCAAATGGAGATTCGGCCTTTGTTCCTTGTGCTGTTTCTGAGGGTCTGCTGACCCCAGAAACAACATTTTGGCTGCACCAGAATGGTGGTGATCATCCCCCACACTCAAGAAAACTATTTTAAATCTTTGGAATGCTGAGCTTAGATACAGGCTGTTACTTTTTTAGTTCCCCCTGATGATGAGTATGCAAAATGTGTAGGGGGTCCAGGGGTCATTTCGTAGAAAAAGAGCTAGGGGAACTCATTAGCATAACTCATTAGCATATGCCACACCCCCTGACATCAGGGGCCCGGCGGTGGACCTGCAAGGCCAGCGGGAGTGCGAGGATGCCCCACCAAGGCCCTCCCTGGCCCCAGGCAGGCACGGGTGGGGAGAGGCAGGGAGGAAGCAACTTACCCTCCCTCTTCTCCTGCCTCCTCCTGGCTGAATGAGGGCTGGAAGCGGGGCGGCCGGAAGCAGGGGGCGGGGCTTCGTCATGTGCCCCGCCCCCTGCACCTCACCCGGGGGAACTGCGTTCCCCCGCGTTCTCCCCCCCGAAATGACCTCTGAGGGGGTCTCAGAACTGAATTAAAATTAATTCTCCCACTGCACCAGTCATCTCCTGCTTTTTGCTCTGTGCTTGGATCGGCGTCCTTTTCTTGCCACTGGCCGATACACTACAAACACCATGATTGGTGTTTTGTGATTTGCTTCAGAATATCTCCATCTTTATGTAACTATTTCTTTCTGCCCACAACCTTTCTGTACACATGACTGCCCTGCATGTTTCTTCTCAGATTCTGTTCATTCAAGCACATGTCTATGGTTGTTTTCTGTTTTACCTACTATTCTAACTCGTTTTCTTTCAGCCACTATGTTTCCCGACTCTGGTATGGGAAATTCTTGGAGATTTAGGGGTAGACCTCAGCAGGATAGAATGCTATAGAGGCCATCCTCCAAAGCAGCCATTTTCTCCAAGCAAACTGATCTCTGTAGTCTTAATTTTCAAAGAGTACTAATTATAGTCAATAAGATATGCAATCATTCCAACATTACTGAAAATGGGGGTTAGCTATTAGGGATGGGCACAAACTGAACCACAAAGCAAAATTCATCACAAATTTTCCCTGTTCATGGTTTGCAAACCAAAGTTTGTGACTGGTCTATGGTCATAACCTTCCATGAACTTTTGAAGCAGTTTATGACTATCCATGGTGGTTTGTGGATAGGGCAGAAAATGGGTTTAAAGGGACTCCAATTCCCTTTAACTCCAAGTCCCTTTAAACACCTTCTTTTTGTTCTCCATGAAAGCTGCAAAAACAGCTGAGTTGCAATAAGCAGCTTGCTCTTCACTGATCACCTACCCTGTTTTCCCGAAAATAAGACCTACCCCAAAAATAAGCCCTAGCAGGATTTCTATGCATTTGTGGTATAAGCCCTAGTGTGTCTTCTTGAGAAAAAATAAATATAAGACAGTGTCTTATTTTCGGGGAAACACGGTATTTTCGGCTTTCTTTAAAGGCTGCTCCATGTCATTCAGCTGTTTTTCAGGCTACCTGCAAACCCTATTTAAAGGGACTGTGATCCCTTTCAATGGGGTTTGTGGGGCCATGAACCAGTTTGGTTTGCAAGCAAACTTTCCATTTCAGTTCAGTACATGGTTTGGTTTGGGGTTCGGCCATGAGCCATGAACCAATACAAACTGAATTTTTCCAGTTCGTGCCCATCCCTATTACTTATTACATTAACATGAGTGAATATCCCTAATCTACAATAAAGAGTGCATTCTTTCTACATAGCAATATACAGAGTAGATACATTTCAGCACATTTTAATTATCGATTTTTTAATGATTCACACCAAATGTGCCACGCCAGTAGATGAGGGGAGGGTTACCATGTCCCCCTGGCCACCAGCAGGGGAAAGGGCAGGTAGGGCTGCCAGATCCAGGTTAGGAAACTCCTGAAGATTTGGGGATGGAGCCTGGGGAGGACAGGGACCTGAGTGGGGTACAATGCCATAAAGTCCCCCCTCCAAAGCATCCATTTTCTCCAGGTGAACTGATGTCTGTAGTCTGTAGATCAGTTGTAATTCCAGGAAAATTCCAGGCACCACCCAGAGATTGGTAACTCTATTGGCTACCTTTGCATTGTCTCAAGGTCTCTAGAATCTATGCTGGGCTCTTGGAGTGCAAATTTGATATTTGCTAAATGGCCTTGGATTGGTTCTGTTCCAAAACAACACTTTGCTTGTTATGGATACTGATTTCAGCCTGCTCCCACTCCTACAAGAATGTCTGTTCTCTCTGATCCTGCAAGGAAGTGTGCTACTCAGTTTCTCTATACTGTACTCAGCCTTATATTCCAAACAACAACTGAGAAGAGAGTAAGGAAAGAGTCAAATACTTGGACACTGGCTGCAAGCTTTTTCATGTACTATAAATTAGAGTCAAAATATAAAGAAGCCTAAGTCCTACCATGTTTCTAGTTTCTTGATTGTTCTTCTCCAAAGGATCCTCTGAAACTCTCACAAGAAATGATGTGGCATCTACAGCATGAAACTTATTTGGCAGTCTTCCAAATGAGGGAACAAATGTGAACCTCAGGACTCCAGATTCAGAGGGAACCTACAATAACATGTACAGATACTTCATTTGCAATTTTGCAATTTTAAACTCCAGCCCCCCTTTTTCATTGAGAGATCTACTCCCAGGTTTATAGTAACACATACTCTGTCCATGGACAATCTTATTATAAAGATTTGTTTTGATCTGCACAGTGGAACCATGTTGTGATTAAGAGATATGATATAAATTTGAAAGGAGAATAAATATTTTTAAAAACTCCGATTCACTTTCCTTTTTTTAAAAAAAGCACATCTATCTGATCATTCAGATACAATTATTCCCTCCTTACAGGCTAAGTGCTCTTTACAAGCTTATACATTCAAAGGAAATAATCTGAACAGCTGATGGATGGCTCCTTTTCTTCTTTCTCCTTTCTACAGCAGAAGAAAATAATGTTTTACCAGTGAATCTAAAGTTGAAGGCAAAAGGGTAGTGCAAGGATCAAATTAACGGAAATAATTTAGATTTCTAAAGCAAAAGTAGGAATGTAAAGTTTTATAAGCTCACTAAAAGCCATAGTTGTATAGAATTCATTCAATGCCTTTAAAATTTGCAGAGCCATTTCACAACAAAGTCTCATTCGAAAAACACTTTTCAGTTTAGCAAGCAGCTTTGAGATTTTTCACCCCCCTACATAAAGGCTTCAATTAGATGCTTTCATTACCCTAAAAGATGTCACTCTCACAGTTGATGCAGTATAACCAGAGCCAACTCAATATTGCAATGCGATTGAGCAGAAGAGAACTCCCTTACCAACACTGACATCTAAATTTTCATGAACAGAAGGGCTGCTGATTATATCACCACAAATTTCACATATGTGCCACACTAAAATTGAGCCTTTTCATCCACTGATTACTTGGGTAGTTGTATGCCCATGCTTTAATTTGTGAGTCTATAATATTTTATTTCCCCCCTCTCTCTGAGGGAATTCTACACAGTCAATCACTCAGAGAAAATTTCAAAAACATCCAGTAGGAATCCTTTGGCTTAAAATGTAATGTCAATCATTTTGAAACGGAATTATCATTATTTTAAAGGGTACCATCAAATAAAACCAGAAGTGACTCTTTGGAGCGCAGTATGGTTTATTAAATCTGTAAAATGGGAATCACACATTCTTGAAGAATAAGAATTGCTTATGAACATTTTAGTTATTTGAACTAATTCTCTCACAATTAACTGGAGACCTGATGTGGTGCATTGACCAGACTAACACTCAAGAGACCTGGGCTGCAATCCCCCTCTCAGTCATGAAGCTCATTGGGTGCCCTCAGGTCAGTAATCCTCTCTCAGCCAAATTTAACTCAGAAGTTGTTACAAAGATAAAACTGGGAGGAAAGAACTGTATATACCACCCCCAGGCTCTTTGGAAGAATAAAAGAATAAAAATGTGATAGAATTCTGACAGATATTTTGGATCACATGAAAAAATCCCCCCCAAGGGATTTAGTGAGGGCCTACACCCAGAAACATTTTGTAGCAATGCCTGATTTTCTGCAGCTAAATATACACAGTAGGACTCCAGAATCACATCCATGAGTCCAGGAAAAATGGAAGTTGCCTCTAAATATTTTCATATACTTGCATTCATGAACTCTCTTTGAAGTGGGGTTGCCAGGCCCTCCTTGGCTACCGGCAGGGAATGGGGGACCTAAAACCTATTGTATTGTAGGAATGCAGCCTTTTTCTTCTGTAAAACAATTACTGGTCCTCAGTCACTTTGATCTTTTTAGGTTTATAGAGCTGAAGGAATTTGGTGGTCTTATCCACAACCATTCATCTCAAGATCGGACGTGATCAGGGTGGTATGGCCGTAGGCTTCAACCACATTTCCATACATTAAAAGCCTCTATTAAAAGAGACGGGACATTTTCCTGCAACCCTATTCATATAGAATACCCTATGTCGAGTATCACCAATACATACATGGCCAATCAAAAAAATCCAAAGAAGATTATTAAGCTATTTATTCCGTGGATCTTGGGGGGGGTGGGAATATATTTTTCTCTTCTGCACAATCAGTGTCTTACATGAACAAACATTCAAGTATAAGAATGACCCACTTGGATTCTGAAGTTGTATTTTTGCAGGAAAGTTGTACCAGGTGATATTTTAACATTCTCAGTTAAACTAGTAACACTAAATATATCTGACTTGCAGACAGATCTGTTATTATCAGAACTACCTAAGTGGCTCAAGATCTGTGGATGAGGTTATCAGGGCCACATGTTACACTTAAAAGCCCATCCTGAGAGATCTCATTTTGGGCATCTGAAAGACATTCCCAGTCCTCACACTGAAGACTAATCCTATGCAAGTTTACATGAAGTAATCCCCATAGAGATCAATATCCTTCAGATTTCCACCTTAAAACCAAACTTTTATATACCTAAGAATAACAGGGTCCTGGACCTGGACAGCCCAGGCTGGCCCAATCTTGCCAGATCTCAGGAGTTAAGCAGGGTTGGCCCCGGTTAGTACTTGAATGGGAGACCACCAAGTAATTCCAGGATCGCTATGCAGAGGCAGGAAATGGCAAACCACCTCTGTTTGTCTCTTGCCCTGAAAACTCTACTGGGTCACCATAAGTCAGCTGTGACTTGATGGCAAAGAAAAAAAGAATAACAATACCATCATTTAATGGTCTTGTTGAATAACAATGTCTCTGAACATGTTTAGGCTACAACATTATTTTATCCATAAAGTCTCATACCTGCTCCCTGGAAAATAACCTTAGAGAAGAACTTTCTTTCACAGCTGCCGTCTCAGTTGGTTCTCCATTTTGCGTGGGCTGCTGGTGGAAAGAAGGAAGGAAAACCAAGACGTTAAAAAAATATGCACACTTGATTTCTGCCGGAGTCTTAGGGAATGAATATATTTTCAGCTATTTCAGTAGCCTCTCGAGATTCTTTTATAATGGAATATTCCAAGAGCAGGCACTTCGTGTGGGCGTAGGAAGAATTTGGGATATAAATACTCAATTTGTTCAACTTCCCACCTACTTGTTACACTGTAAAGTAGATTGCCTCCTTCCTAGTGTGTAGAGATGTCAGTGAATGATTTCCATTAGTCAAAATGGTTTATATTAAAATATTAAGTATATATCTCTTAGAACTCTCCCATTTTTTTAATGTCAGTTATTCCATAGACAATAACACAATTACTTATCCCTGGAAAGAATTTTAGATACAACTTCAGAAAAGACTATTCAAAATTAATTTAATTGACTAAATTGGAAAGTAGTATTTCTTATAAATCTTGTCAGTTTTTAAATAAAACATGACTAACTAGACATAGGAGCTGCAATATTCCCCAGAGGCTCACATACCTGTAGGGTTGCCAACCTCCAGCAGGCACCTGGAGATCTCCTGGAGAAAATAGCAACTTTGGAGGGTGAATTCTGTGACATTATACTCTGCTGAAGTCCCTCCCCAGGCTCCACCTCAAAAATCTCCAGGTATTTCCCAACTCAGGCCTGGCAACCCTACCTACCTGTGAGAGCTTCCTTAGTCCATCCAAAGCTCTAGTGCTTTGTGAGAGAATCCTAACTGTGGCATAGCCATTGAATCTACATTTAGAACTGGGTTAATTTTCTTATTTTCAGGCTCATTGAGCTAGTCACTCACAGACAGCCACTAAGCAGCAAGAAACTGAAGGACAAACTGACTGCCACAATGTATGGCAGCAGTTGTTTTATGGACTTTCACAATAAAACCTCATAACTTTGTATGTGTACTACTTTACATAGGTTTCCTCGCATTTCCTCTTATGGGAGAATGTGCTAGCAGCTAGCAGAAGGGGAAATGAGTTGAGGTACAGTGGAAATGCATGAAAACCTATGCAAAACAGTACACATACAAAACTGAAAGGCACAATTGTGGCGTTTTTTCCCATTGTGCCCATAAGCATTTTCTCCCAATCAGTTACCATCCATGTTACGCAACCAAAGCCCATAGTTTCTTCCGCTATTTTTTAGAGCAGAGTAATGTCACTTCCAGGTTTTGCCTGGAAGTTATGTGACACTGTCACACAAACAACAATTTTTATCTTCCCCCCCCCCCTTCCTGCCAGAGTGGCAACAGGTAACAGAGGCTAGGGGTGGGAGATCTCCTGTCCCAAACAGGTAAATGGCATTACTAGTGGAGAAGGTGGAAGCTGCCAGGAGGAAAGAGTCTCACGCTATTAGGCTCAGTGAAGGTAGGGAGAGGAAGGGGATTGTCTTAAATTCACGGCCATCTGCTTTTGTATAGAACTTTCTGGGGGGGGGGTCTTCCTTTCAGGTAAATATGGTAGACACAAAAGCTCATGCCACAAAAATGGCAGTCGCAAGAAATGCACAACTGGACATTCCGCATATAATTAAGCAAAACTATATGTTACTAAAGTAGCAAATGATTTGTTTTAAGCAACCATCTGGTTGAAAGATAAACAAAGCTGGTCCTTTTAAATAATAACCTCTTAAATAATGAAACATTGAACAGCATCCTTTCTTTCCTGAATCAGTAAGCCACCAACTCTAGCCTTACAGAAGGCTGGAATGCAGCCATGTATATATAAAGTAAGCACTTTACCAAACCTAACCATTTAAAAATATTTGTCCTTCTTTAGAGAGCAAGTAAATAAATGTATTCAGACACTTTATTTGCAATAGTTATCTATTCTATTGTTTCCATTTATTGCTTTAAAGCCATACCTATGTGTTGAAGTGTTAAAGCAACCCTGGCAGTTTTGGCAAAAGGATATTCTGTCTTCTTGTCCATAAAAGCACTATAGCTTCTGGCCAATGTTACATGCATAGTGTGCAATCCTAAACAGAGCTGTACACTTCTGAGCTAGGGTTACCATATGCCCTCCAAACAACTGCTGATGCTCTCCATCTCCTTCTGGTACTCAATAGAGTGGCCGGGGGGGGGGGGGGGGGGGGGGTAATGCCATTATGTGACACCACAACATCAGTTCCAGCCAGGAATCCGAAAGTAATGTTGCCACAATTGTTAGCCAAATTGCTTTTGGTTATTAATAAAGATGGGGAATTATAATTATTAATGTGCAATTGGCGTTTAGGGAAGCAAAGCCTGTGTATACAGGAGTCCCGCCCTTTCCAATAACCCACAAATAAATGAGAAACCAAGTCTTTAAAGAAATGGATTCATTACTGAGGGATGTTCTCAAACATACAATAAAATCATACACACAATCATACACACAGTTATTCAGACCTAGGAAATACAGATAGAAAGGGATAGCGACCGCATTAGCAGGAGAATCGTTGAGGGGAGTACCTCTCCTTGGCAAGATGAAACGATCCACAGAAAAATAAGGGAGACTATAAGGGAAATAAGGGTCATATTCTGAACCTGCAGAACATGTGGTCGACTCTGGCAGCGCTAAAACCAAGAGTCGTAAAGATAGGGTGGGTCTAGAGGTAGAGGAGAGAGAGCATGGTGGATCATGCTCTTTTATACACTATTGGGTTTAAGCATGTGTGTTCTATGGCTTGTTGCCGTGATAAATGCCTGACTGACTGACTACACTATTGGGACTTGGGGGTGGGCTTTGCTGGCCACTTCCCCTGTCACGTCCCCTTGGTCAGTCCCAGGAAGTTTCCTAATCAAAAAACAGTTTCGAGAGGAAGGGGGCTTAATGGTTGGGCAATATTAGATTCTATTTACTCTTAACAGTGGCACCTTTGAGAACAATAGCTGAGGCAGCCAGAGTCATTGTCATCGATGGTCCGTTGATGACTCCAGTTGATGGATTTAGCTGGTACGTGTCAGCCCTCTAACCCTCTCATGGCTGTGGATCCTTTGTCATGCTAGATTGCCTACGTGCAATGTTAGACGAAGTTGGGGGGAGGTGCCTGCGTGTCAGAGGAGATGCTAGCTCATGGAGTCCATCAGGTAAAGCTAGCAGGCAGCTTGTATTTCTCACTGTGATGATTCAGCTTAGCAAGCAAGCCTAGTAGATGCATTTTCCCATGAGGTGATTCAACTAGCAAACAAGCCTAGCTCAGGCATAAATTTTCCTGGAACCACAGCTCTTGAATTTACCCATGCATAAGTCAAACAATGTAAACATGGCTGTTCTGGTTCTCCAACCAGAACCAGAACATCACTTGGGAAATGTACAATAGGTTGCTGCATTGTTCAGTGCAAATAACTGTACATTGGTATTTATCCTCCATCAGGAAGAAGACAGTTGGACTCTTCATGTTATATAACTTAGTTTGAAAGAGTTTGAAATGTGATGTCGTAGTTTGAAAGTGTTTACAATACACTAGAGTTGATGTTCTGTATATAAAGCAAATATATTTAGCTATAAGTGCATGTGAATATTGTGTTTTATTATTTCAACACGGTGTTTTCTGTGTTTACCCACCCAGAGGTTGGCAACCCTAGGCTTCCCCCACATGAGAAGCATGCCCTTCCTAAATGTTAGAGCCAGAGCACACATGTTTTCCATTGGAGTGTTAATGATTGTCTTATTTTGTATAAAATGGCTTACCACATAGATTGGCTCTATTGCATTGCTATTGTCTATTTTGTTTTGTTCCTCTTTTTCCTGTCCTCGCCCCCTGCATCTGGTCATGGGAATATTTTCTCTCTTCTCTGTCTTACTTGGACCAGTAAAAACAAGTCCTGGGGCATTATCATAACGACCGGACAACCAACAAAATGAGAAAGACTGAGTTAAATTTAATCACTTAGACTAAGTAGCGTGGGTCTTTCTCTGCGGCCTGCCTACTCCAGTACTGGACTGTGACAAAATTAAACAGGGCCTCTCATGAATCAGCACACCTTTAGCCATACAAGAAACTTGCGGCATTAGCACTGCCCAAGGAAAGAACGTTCTTCACCTTATCATTTTCCTCCAAAAGTTTTATGAGCCTATTTGGAATATTTAGAATCATCCACCAAAGTCACACACCATTTGATCAATCCAAAAGACACATCCTCTGCCTGATACCTCCAGGGGATGCCAGCCTCCGTGTAGGACCTGGGGATCCCGTAGAATTACAGTTCATCTCCAGACTACAGAGATAGTTCCCCTGGAGAAAACAGATGCTTTTCAGGGTGGATTCTATGGCATTGTGCCCCACTGAGGTCCTTGTCCTCTGCAGGCTGCATCCCAAAATTTTCAGGAATTTTCTAATGTAGATCAGGCAACCCTACCCCCCCCCTTCCCTTGCTAGTGGCTGGGGGGACCTGGCAATCCTACAAATCCTCTCTCTCTCTCTGTGGGTGAGTCTGCATTGGCTTTTCCCGCCATTGTTTTAGCAAACCCACTTGGGAACAGAAATTCCCCTCTGCATTGCATGCTGCTTTCACTTTCTTTGATAAACTGGTTTATGGTACCTTCTGCATAGATTTATGGCCATTCAGGGGTGACTTTGCAGTCAGTACGGTGTTGCCCTGGGGTATTTGAATGTGGTTTTGCACTGCACCTTTTCCTCAGTGTTGAGAAAATGTGGAGCGAATGCTAGATGCACAATTACCCCCCCCCCCAAGATCCTCAGCCATCCGATCCTCTCCTTCATCCAGTCAGGTTGCACACCTAGAGCTCACTTCCTTTGCCTTCTCGCCTCTTTCCAAGTCTTTTAAAAAAATAATCTCTGGTTTTTGGACTGGGAGCAGAATCTGTCCCCAAAGTGTGTCTTGAAACTACTGCCATTTGCACTGGCGCAGAGGTTCCCATTCTGATTATTCATAATTTGACCTTGTATCTCTTCCCTTTTGATTAATTACTGTTCAGATGCTGGAATCCTTGACTTGGGAACTGGATATTTGCTGGACC